CCCCGAGGGAGGGCCGAAGAAGTGGCGCCGAGCGACGCCTGCCTCCTTTCTTCCTCCGCCTTCCTTCTCTTCAGCTGGCTCGAGGCAGCCAAGTCAGCAACTGCGCGCTGCAGGACGCCCTCCCCCTTTCTGGGAGCCATACCTGCTGCGAGGCCCCCGGCCCCACCACTGCGCGCTCCGCCCCCCGCCATTCATTTGCTGAGCTTCCCGCCCCCGTGGTGGGGCGGGGGCGGAGGGGTAGCTTCAACCTCTCCTTCCATCTAACTGCACCCCCAACTACGCCCGCGCAGCGGCGGACCCCGGCGGAGCACCCGGGATTCCCATCCCACTCATCCAGGGCTCACCTCGGCGCGAAATAATTTTCGGGACTCGGGTGGGCTCTCCCACACGCTACGTTTTCATTTTGTTGCTCTTCTCTTTCCACTTGAAAAACTCTGGAAAACATCGCAGGGAGAGCAAAAGCCATTGAGTATGGCCTGCCTCTCTTCAGTAGATCGATTCCTGAACTTTCCAGGAGGCACAAAGTTTCTCCCAGCTCAGTTTTTAACTGCAAGCTGCAAAGAAAGAAGAGCCGAGTTTGCTGCTGCTTTCTAGAAAGGATGCATTCGTCTCCACTTCTGATTCTCTGATGGGCTGGTCGCAGACCAAAATGTGTGGGGCCGGGCGCCCCTATTTCTCCATATCCGTGAATAGAAATGTCGCTTCCGCTTTCACGGTGCAACTTCGCAAGTGCAAACAATCAATTTTAGAAGAGTAATTGAGGGCGGGGAATGCACACCTGGAGGTGTGGGCGGGCACGGCGCGGGAAGGCCGGGGGATAGTTCTCAGGGGGTGGCAGCGGCGATAGATTCGCCCCTGTCCTGTAGCAGCGCCCAGACCGTGGGGAGCTCCGCAGCTGAGCCTACGCGCCGCCAACCTCTCTCGCTGGGCTTCCCAGGATTTCCGGCTTGCTGGGAATTCTTAACCTCACTCGCCAAGGCCTGGACCTCTAGACATCAAAAGTAGCTGCTGAGGCGCGTAGTGAAGAAGACTCAGTGGTCTGATACAACCACACCTAAGACAAAAATGCAGAATAGCGAGGGAGGGCTGGATGAGTGGTGGTCACTCGATAATCCTGGGGTTGCTAGAAGGGAGAGGTCACGGTTAACTGCGGCTTAGAAGCCTGGCTGGCTTCGCCTTCTGGTTGCCACAAGATAGATGTTCAAGGCAAAGGCTTCCAGTCAATGACTAGCTAAGCTGTTTCTAAAACAATCTATCAAATCCTCCTTTAAAAAAAA